GGGGGTGGAAGGAGGGAAAAATTGAAGCAGCGCGCGGATTTACGCGGCGCGTTACCCTAATGAAAATCGCGAAGGATGAAGTTGCGCGCGCGTGGCGGCGGTGGCGGTGGTGGCGACGGCGGGAAGAGATGATAGGAGGAGAGGCGGTTGGAATACACGAGGGTGGAATTAGAATATCAGAGACACGGCTGGCGCAGCGTGGTGTACGTATAACTCTGTGTGCTCTGTGTGCCCCATGCCGGCGCACACCAACGTTCCTCGCCCTCGTCCGCGCGCGCGTCTCCGGCTTGCACGTATATAATACTTGTCAGTGGTTGACAAACCCTCGACATCAATTTCTCTCTCCGTCTCTGTAATTCGCCCCCTCTCTCTCTCTCTCTGTCTCTCGTTCTATCACTACCTCGCTCCCTTTTCCCTCGAAACGAGTCTTGCTTCTCTCTTCCTCGCTACTTCTATCACTCCATCCTCTCCCCCTCCCCCACCCCCAACCCTCACCTCCCCTTGCCACGGCCTCGTCCAACTGCTCCTCCTGTTGCCACCCCCTTCTCTCTCTCTCTCTCTCTCTCTCTCTCTTCGTTTACTTTGGAGATATCGATTACCGGCTCAACTCCCAACCCCCATCAACCCCTCTGTCACCTCCGACCCCCCTTATCCACTCCCTCTAGCACCCCCGACTCCCTTCCACTCGGCCCAGCTTGCTGCTTGGTTGCTTGCACGGTGTCACATCGGTGTAGCAGTTTACAGAGACAGTATAGTTCGCGACAATTACGATCGGCCGTACAGCAGACAGTGGTGTAGGACCTCGGAATCCAAGGATGCCGGGCGGTGTTACGGTGAGGACATCGATCTGCCGAACGCGGTTCATTTTCCGGAGCAGTTCTTAAAGTCGCGTGTTTTAACCGTGTAAATGTAGCTCACCGTGTAAAACGAGCGCAATTTTCGCATGCAAAACACCATCGGCTTTTCGCGTTCGCGTGAGAATTTGGATTTGCATTTCTTAGGAATGCATTAAGCGCGCAAATCCTAGCTACCTGTATTGAAGCACTCCGTTTGAACTTATCTCGAGAATTAACGGATTGAAATGGAACGTTTCAAAAATTACAACCGTGCATTTCCGCAATTGCTTTACGTTAAGATAAAAAATACCGATAATTTAATATTCTGTAAGTATAAGACGGAAAGAGATATACGGAAACATTAACTAAATTAGACTAATGATTGCCCGAGAGAATATTCTTTAGAAAATTTCTCAGTAATTTTGATACAATTCCAAATTTATTTATTTACTTATTGGAATCTTTACGTCCAAGTCGTGTTAACGCAGACAATGGTTAGTTTTAAACTTATTGCAATTATATCGGTTTCAATTATATCGGTTGCAATCTCTACAGGGGCTACTGTAGAATTCTGAAAAGCAATTGAGTAAACATACGCATATGTGCCTTTAGCTTCGCTGAAATTTGCGTCTATTGAGCATAACAGGGTTATTGACCCACCAATCCGCGTTGTTCGCTTTCGTATCTCGAAAGCGGTTTACAGAAACATGTAAGCCCCGGTACCTGCGAGAGCGCATTCTCGTGCAATGCTGATTTTGTATCGGGACAAAAGATTTTGTCCCGATCCTACTTGATTTTTATTTTCATTTTCAGTCGAGCCACCGTGTCTCTCGCAAGTTTGATTCGCTGTGAAAGACGAGAGAAACGCTTTATATGCAGCGCTTGGAAATATTTTCATGCTAACTCGTCTCGAGTGAAGTCTATGGCGATAGTTCCGCAATTGGGGTTTCAGAAAAAGTTACAAGTTATTAGAACTTATTTGACAATTTTATGCGTAGTACTTGAAACGTTTTACACGCGAATTCGAAGAAATCGCTTGACTGCGATCCGGTGCATGACTTTTTGCAGCAGCTATTCACGATGAAACGGGCGGAGCCAATATTTCATTCAGAGCATTCAATTTCCGGTATCAACACGTCGTCTCTGTATATTGCCTTTGAAACGAAGACAGGGACCATATTTTTCAGTACTAGCCGTGAACCAATTTAATGTAATTAGCATTATTAGCAAAATGTCAAATATCGATCTTAAAAATTATATTTCAAATATATATATGTATATTTCAACTGTAGTGCTACAGTTCCTGAACAAATTATAACAGCCTCGACCTCAGGCAACTTTTCGCATGTTACGTAACTTTATAGTCTCATAAAGGAAAAAACCTATCGTAGAAATGGCAATATAATAACATCCAGCTTGCCTCGGGGTAGAGAAGAAGAGAGCAAGGAGAAACGGGTACTCGTGGCGAATACTTTGGACCATGTTAGTACTGCACTTTAATATAGGTAAGTCCAAGTTAAGCTCCTTACCGATGACGATACGATTAGTACGGTTGGCTGGACTAATTGCCTTCACGCAGATAGAACTAAATCAAAGAGGGGCCAGCAATATGAAGCGAAAATAATATCAATCGCTTTTTTCAGAGAGAAAAACGGCTTGCGCTTTTCTCTCATTTATGTAATATCCTATTCTTTCATGCTCGCATTACAGATAAATATCGTGTGCCTGTCATGCATTCTCGCGTGCCAATACGAATGCAAGTCGAGAGAGAGAGAGAGAGAGAGAGAGAGAAAGAGACTCCTCGAAGAGTTTCTTCGCGATACACGCAAAACCGATAATCGAATTTTGTTTTTATTTTTAACGACCCTATGCATTTTGCACAAGTTGTGGGAAACGTTGGATTAAATATTCGCCGAAACTCGGGGAAAAGTAACGACACTTTTTCCCCCTTACTTTTAGTATAAAGTTTCTTACGAGTATTCTATCGGAGCTTGTTTGCTTGTTGTTGTATTTCGCGCATAAAAGGATTATCGAACACTGAGAAGCATAGCTGCGAGTATCGCCGACATTTTCACGATTAAAGAACTAAATTGTTGTCGGAGTTGTTCTTGGTTTGGTTCGCTCTCGACTTGCGAAACGAAAGAGGTAACGAGACTCGATCGAAGAGAGGAAAGACACAAAAAGGAACTTACAAAGTGCCTTACCATAACGTAGTGCCTCTGCATCTCGGTCTTCTCACTAGCTAACTTCTCGCACTCAAGCTTCAGTCTGAAACATAAAAAAGATTCAGAAAAGAGACGAGGGTAGAATAAGAAAGATAAACGCTTCAATATAAAGGACCCCGCACAGATCATATGGGAATGTGTCCCCCGGTTAAATTCGCTGGAATTGAAATACGTCGTTGTCCTCGACATCCCGAACAAAAGTCTTAACGGGCACGATTCTCTAAATTCACTTTTCCGTTCAGAGGACATTTCAAGTAATCTAAACCTTAAAATACAGAACTTCGAGATAGGAGTAAAACGCACGCAACGTGCGCATCGAAATGGTGCGAATCAGTTCGATAATCGAAACATCATCGAAAATCAGCTGAAAAACGAGAAAACGAGCTGAAAAATGTGGAGGAAAACTCGTCGTCTTGAATAATCGCGAAAATTTGAGGAAACACGACGGAGCAAATAGGAAGAAAAGGAAAAGAGGAGGACTAAAAGAAAATAGAAATGCTCGAGAAACGCGGGGGCGAATGGCGAGGAAGAAAAGAGAAGTAAAGGACCAAAAGGAAAGTAAGCGAGGAAAGAAAGAGAGATACTCACGAGTGGTACTGTTGCTGGATGAAATTGAATTCCTCTTTGATCCTCTCGCAAGTGTCCGCCACCGTGAATTTCAGCCCGCCAGCAGCCCCGCCGCTACCGCCGCCGCCCTGTAAGGTAAAAAAGAAAGGATTGGAGAAACGAAGGGATTCAATTAGCTATGTATACACGACAATGCGGACGCGATAGAGGATATGCGCGCACGTGGGCGTTAAAATCGTGCGTGGAACGCACTCGCGACGAATAAGCCGCATCCGCGACAAGCAGCCTGCTTGTCACTTTGTGGCATTGTATTTAATCTTTTTAGCTCCGGGGCCAGTCAGCCAGATCCCTCGCTATTAATACGAATAAATGAACTAACCGTATCTACGGTTACGGACGCAGGCAGCTTGTAGTAGAGCACGGGAAAATGTATCCAATTATCAAAAATATGTAATGATATTTATACAGACAAGAAAAGTTACACATCTTATCTGTGCTCCTGAAATTTCAGTGCAATTTCAGTTTGCTTGATATTCTTTGTTTACTTGGTACTCTGTATATAACGTATACATCACTATATGCTACACTAAAACAATTTTTACTTAATCTTAATATATTTCTTTGAATAAGCTGAGTAAACAGTTACTTATAGCAAATAAATATTTACTCAATGAAAAATTATACGGTTAAATCAAATTAATAATTTTTGTATCAAATATGTTTATATCTAACAAATGTTTAATGTTAGAACTGTTCGAATAAATATTTATTAAAATTTAGTTATTTTTTTATGTAAATAACACAACCATGTGTATAATTTTTGTAAAATATATTATATATATCCTAATATTAGGTTAAGTAAAAAGTCATCGCGTTTTTTTAAAAAGACATCTATCAGTAAAAACCGCAATTACTTTCTTACCAACAATATAAATATATCTTAATAGAAAGTTTCGGCTTTAAAAATCTCTTTTTTAAATTATACGATACGACAATTTTTAATGGAGTTATGAGCAATTCAAGTCAGAATAATTCTTTTATTTAATCCGCGATAACTCAGTAATCAAAAGTCGTAGGAATATTTAAAAAAAAAACGATTTTGTAGGGAAAGTATCAAGCTTTCACG